GTTGCCGCGGCAACCGCACGCCGACAAGCAACGCATTGTGTTCGATGTAACCACGGCAACCGATGAACGGTACGTTACGTACGCCCATTCTGCGGCATACAATTAGGGTAATAGTAATAACAAGATATGGTATCGGTGTGCATACAATTAACAAGGCATTTCGCGAAATACAATAAGGATAATAGTAATTACAAGGCGTGCGTGTGGAAATAAGAATGAACTTGATATTCGACATGCAAATTAACTGGATGCAATACAAACGAGTTGACTACTGTGGTATATCACACGAATAGGGGGCAGAACCGTACAGTGCGCGCGCGCACACACACACACACACACACACATTACCAGGAGTAAGATCATATAGAATCTATATAATGATATCTATGAATCTATATAATATAATATATAATCTATATTATAGAATCTATATAATGATAATATAGATTCTATATTATCTTACTCCTGATATTACCTATATAGTAAATATTATATATAGTATATATCATGACTTAGTTAAATTAAAAAACAATGTTATGAGAAACTTTTAGAACCCTGGTGTACTTAACAAGATAGACCCAAATTATATCTTGGGTGAGAATTAAGACAAGATTTTATCTAATTTGCAAACACTATAATATTACGTACAACGTGGTTTCGACCAAAGGCCCCATAATTGTCTTTATTTCCTAAATGTGAGATGTTAGGTGAATACGTGTTGTAGGGTAGCAGCTGTTAGTAGGTTAGTAACGAAAACAATGACATCGCCAGATATTTATATTGATAACTCAACGATTTGAAAATATACGAATATATATATATATATATATATTGTAGCTCTGTAACGGGGTTAATGCAGAAGAATAATGAATAATAATTATAATAATAATAATGAAGAATGACATCGCTGGAAATTTGTATTGGTAATCGTTAGAATTATAACATACAACGCGATTCACGACTTAATTTCCCAATAGGCGGCAGCACTCTCCAGTGTGCATCTTCTATTCTATTTCTGTGGTGTGCATGAGTACAGGACTCAGTACATTTACTGTAAATAAAGTGTAGGAAGGTATGCACTTGTGCAATAGACAAATTGAAAATCACAAATATCGCCGTCCTTAACACATCTATATAACATATAAATAATTTTCCTACTATTAGTACAGTTGNGATATGTGGCGACTGCATGGTGTGTGTATGATAGTGATACTGATATATGTGGTGTGATATGTGATATGTGGTGACTGGTGTGTGTATGATAGTGATACTGATATATGTGGTGTGATATGTGATATGTGGTGACTGGTGTGTGTATGATAGTGATACTGATATATGTGGTGTGATATGTGATAGGTGGTGACTGGTGTGTGTATGATAGTGATACTGATATATGTGGTGTGATATGTGATATGTGGCGACTGGTGTGTGTATGATGTGTCGCACGATATTAAAAGCAAAAGTAAATCATGATAAGTAGGTAACTACCAACCACCGTGTGATGTGGTCAGGCATAGACATCACAATAGTCGTAGTAAATTAGTACATCATGTAATTATGTTGCCATGGCGATACTAAAGCTGAGAGGGTCTATGTCCCCCAGGGTACTGCCGGAACGTACCCTGGGTACGGTCTGGTATACAGGAACGTACACTGGTACTACCGATATCTAATATGCCGGACCGTTCCTTGCCTACTCCACTAATGAGTCTAGGGAGTCGCCTTCGCCTACTCCCTAACCCTAACCCTAACCCTAACCATATCAGATAGTTACCAGGGTACGTTTCGGTATACCAGACCGTACCCAGGGTACGTTTCGGCAGTACCCTGGGAGACATAGACCCTATGAGCTATACTAAAGCCGGCATTATACTTATAGCTTATAAAATATAACATTAGTTATGTGTCTAAATATCCTCCCCTTACGATTTGTGATTTTCTCTGAAAATGAAATTCTTCATTCTTGTCGCTGCATCGTGTACAGAGGAGCTGTGTGTGTGGGTGGCGGCCATTGAGCTGAATGCTGACAGTACGACCGCAGCGGACGTCGACTCTTACCTCGATAGGATTCTGGCAGCTCTCAACGATCAGGGTAAACTACGCACGCTTCCTAAAACATCCTAAGATCCTAACATCCAAAACATCATAAAATGTCTAATATGTAGGAATATAATGTCTATATATAAGGCCATAATAAAAAATATTGTTTGTTTGTTTGCCCTCACCCGACCGACCTGCCAAAAAGGGGCCATCTAAAAAATTTTATTGATCTTTCCCAATCTTTATTTTACAAATTGTATCACTGTACATTATACAAATCTGTAGGCAATACATTATATGTACCAAGCAAAACAAACATTCAACATAAAAGGTATCTCCACATAAGCACACCTGAGCATGTAGACACCATGTTGAATTTGTTTTTTAAAAACTATCAAAGGAAAAAAAGCCTGGGACTTTTCAGCCGGGGTCGTGTGAGCGCAAACAAAGATTTTTTAATTGTGGCCTAATGTCTATATATGTCTGATACTTTCTAAAGTCCCAGAAAATACTAGACTAACGTTAAGACGAATTTTGTTTCTGACGACGGGTCGGGTGGACAGTAAATCGGCAACATGTTAGCGTGGAAACCCCCCGATGTTGCGTCGGCCACCGTTCGCTTGCCCGCGTCGCCGTGGTAACCGCGGGTTTGCGTATTTCGTTCAGGAGAGGAGCAGTGTCTGACAAAGTCGCTCGTCGACGCCGGAATCCTGAAGCAGCTCTCCGCACGGCTTCACCAGCAGGGGGCGCACGCGGTCAAGTCAGCGGAAATCATCGCCGAGGTGGCCAAGCTCGGTGAGTCGCCGCCGCCGCCAGGGGGCGCCGCCGCGTAGTTCCGCGCACGCCCGAGAGAGGGCGCTGCGTGCTCGTCTCTTTTGCATCGGTCACGTTGTGAACAGTAGCGTTGATTTCGTCCCGATTCCCACCAATACGATCGAAAACTTGTATCGTCGAAAAACCGAGTCAGGATATTATAGATAGAGTCGATTATTTGATATTGGATAGTTTAATTCAGACTGGTGACAATTGTACGGGAGTGGATGTACGTCTATCTTTCTATTTATCTATCTATCCATCTATATATCTATCTATATCTATCTTCTATCTATCTATCTATCCATCTATCCATCTATATATCTATCTATATCTATCTTCTATCTATCCATCTATCTATCTATCTTTCTTTCTATCTTTCTATCTATCTATCTATCTATCTATCTGTCCATCCATCCATCCATCCATCCATCTATCTACTATATCAACCGCGAGGGAATCTAGCAAGGTGGAGGATTAGTCTGAGCTTCTCTTTCCGGATGACCTTGACTTGACCTTTCAGTATGGATGACCTTGACTTGACCTTTCACTCCAGATGACCTTGAATTGACCTTTCAGTCCGGATGACCTTGACGACCTTTAAGTCCAGATGACCTTGACTTGACCTTTCAGAGTCGGCGCGTCAGACGTGCGTGGACGCCGACCTCGCTCGCCCGCTCGTCGAGATGCTGGTCAAGGACGAGGTCGCCATGGCAACGCAGGCGTGCCGGGCCCTCGGCAACATCTGCTACGAGTGCGGTGAGTTCGCCGCGAGGTCAAGGTCGTGACGTCGGACGGCATCAAGATCGTTGGACCGCGAGACCGTTATTTGCTAACTGAGAAAATCCGAAAAAAATTTTCTCGAAAATTCGGTGTAGCATATTGTAAATAGATTTTGCCGCTCGACTGTGTGTATAGAATGATTACGTGCGTGACCTGGAACAGTGTCTCTTGCGCTAACTCGTGCTAATTTTTTCCTCTTTTCTCTAATGACTTTTTTTTTTCAAGATAACTTTATACAAGGAAGAACCATAAGAGCCATATTAGCAGGTATTAGCATCTCGTCGTTGTCATGGTTACAGATGCGGCGCGGCAGGCGGTGTTTGAGCTTCACGGCACGGATCGCCTCGTCACGCTGCTGCGTGCGCAGCTTCACTCGCGGGAGCCCGGCGCGGACAAGCTACGTCTGATCGCGTGCGGCTTTCTGCTCAACCTCACCAACGCTCACGGTGAGTGCGCGCGCACGCCAGGGGGCGCTAGGG